CAAGAGAGAGCAACTGCCAAACTTTGCCAAGACAAGGTAGAGAGTCCTTCAAAATATTCTGCTTCACAAAAAATTCTGCCATATATTCCAGGCCTATAGTCAAAGATGGATGCCCTAGCATTGCAGAGGAGCCTTGGGTGACTGTTCAGAGAGCCAGATGTCTTTGTCATTTCTATAGTTTAGAAGTCTTTTGCTCTACACTTTCAGTTTACTGAGGTAGTATTATATCCCTCTTGGGTCCCTGATGGGGTTGATGACAAAATAGTTATGGTTACAGTTATCCTTAGTTATGATAGAAAGTAAATTAGGTACAGAACTTTGGACTCAACAAAAGACGAGAGATAATGGAGTATTTTCTCTGAATTTGCCAAATACAAAGAACTGGACATTTTGAATGTACTTCTTACTTGATAATTGTTCTTATTGTATATAGTTTTATTTTGTGGAGGTTAATGCCTTTCCTTTTTATTTAAACAATACCTGATAATTGTTCTTATTATATATAGTTTTACTGTGTTAGAATTAAAACCCTTCCTTTTTTAGACAAAAGGGGAAAATGTTGTGGGAGAGCTTTTCTGTGGCTGTCCTGAAACTGCCAATGGCATCAGACCTTAGTTCAGTAGGCAGAGCCCATACTATTCTGGCTGGAGCGGACCATAGTTTTCCAGTGAACTTAGAGGAAGCTAGAGGGATACATGAGGGGAGAGGAATAAGGAAGAGCAAGGAGAGATATGTAGGTCTTTTCAATCAGGGAAGATGGAGAAGAGAGCAGATGATTGTTTCCATGATCTCTCAGATTTATTCCCTAATAGTTAACTTCTGAGTTTTATTTTTTAGCAAAACAATAAAAGCAGTTGCAAAATAATGATGACTATTATACTGCTAATCATCCTTTTTTTTCCTTGTGGGAAATCCTTATCATCTTTTCTCACTTTACTCTTAATTGTCCAGTGAACTGTCCAGTAATTAATTACTGGTGATAAATGAACAATTATATTTGGTAAAACTAAATTTAGTCCCTCATCCCACAATCTTGGACACTTGTAGGCATTAAAGAAATACAAAAGGTGGATAAATAGGAGCATATGAATTATTATAGACAAATAAAATATACAGCACAAATAGGAGGGAAACAAACAAGAGACATGGTCAGAAGATAGTTCTAAGGGAAACAAAACCCACCAAAACCAAACCCAGAATCTGCCCCCAGAAAACTCCACAGTGCAGCCATCTTCAAACTTTTATCTTAAGGATGCAAACTAATTTATTAGTCTATGGCAGAGGGAATGAGTTGCTTGATTCCAGCTCATTCTTTTTCTTTTACTGAAGTAAGACAAATAAATCACTAGGCTTTGTTCATGCTAAGTAAGTGCTCTGCCACCAACCGGCACCTTCAGTGCCTTGTCTCAATCTTAATGCTAATGTCTAATATCTGTGTTGACCCAAAAGTCATATGATGAAATCTTTATCTTCCCAAGGTGACAGATTAAGAAGGTGGGGTCTTTGCTATGGAAATCAGACCTTCAGGGTGGAGCCTACATGAGTAGAATTAGTGCCCACAGAAGAGGCTCAAGAGAAACTACCAACTGTTACCCTGTGAAGACAAAATAGACAGCATTATCTCAGAGAAAGCAGGAAAACCTTGCTAGAAAACTAATAAGCCAGTTTCTTGATCTCAGACTGCCAAACTTTCGAGATTGAGAGAAATAAATTTCTATTGTTTGCAAGTAACCCCATCTAAAATATTTTGTTACAGCATCTGAAAATGTATGACATCACTTAGCAACAGAACTCTCGGTTAATTTAGGACAGTAATAATGTCCCACTAATGGGAACATTGCCAGAATCTCAGAGTATAGAAGCTGAGTGCATATGAGCAATATGATGGAAACATAAATGACATGTGATTTCAGCATGTCTGTTTGACTATAAGAAGGTATGCATTGTTTTTGTTGTTGTGTTCTTTTTTCTTTGGGTCTTTCGCCCCTGTGTAGAGAACACAGAGATGACTGATTTCAAGCAGCTAACTTGGACAGAGACAAAGTCTGAGTCCCCAACAGAGATCAGTAGCCTTCACACAGTCACAGCTGTGGAAGCCCTCAGGATTGCTTATCTTTAGACTCTGAGCATGAGAATGCCATCCTCTCCCTTGTCTAAGCCATAACTAGCACTTTTTTAAAAAGGGTTTTGTGTGAGCTTTATACATGAGCACTGTACTTCTATCACTCCCCTCCCACCCCTTCTCGCTCCTGCATCCCACACCACTCCCCACCTCTCACAAGCCCACGAGTTCTTCTTTAATTATTATTGAGAACATGTATATCAAACCAACCGAGTCCATTTTTAGCATTGCTTATATATACACGGGTCCAGAACTGACCACTTGGGATAAGACGACACACAGAATATCCTCCTTGGAAGAAAGTGATTCTCTCTCTCTCAGCAGCCATTGAACACCCGAAGTCCCTCACACAGGAGTGAAACCATGTAGAATTTTCCTGCCCATGCTGGCATGACAACTGGTGTTGTCATTATACCAGTCTTACTCAGACAACCATATTGTTGCGATTTCATAAGTCTATTTCCCGTTATGTCTAGGGGACACTGTCAAGCAGGAGGTGCCCTGTGACTCTGGATGCTAGGCCACAGTTACTTTAAGTTTTTTGAACTTACTATTAATCAACATGCTACTCAATTTCAGAAACCATAAGACCTAGAACAAGAATACTTGGCACAGCCGGGCGGTGGTGGCGCACGCCTTTAATCCCAGCACTCGGGAGGCAGAGGCAGGCAGGTCTCTGTGAGTTCAAGACCAGCCTAGTCTACAGGAGCTAGTTCCAGGACAGGCTCCAAAGCTACAGAGAAACCCTGTCTCCAAAAACCAAAATAATAATAATAATAATAATAATAATAATAATAATAATAATAACTTGGCACAATGTAAACATTTAATGGTAAGTACCTAATTCTGTACTATTATTGTATTTATGAAAAATAAGTTATAAGGAAATTTTTTAAATCCACCAGGAAAGCTACCTTACTAAAAACAAAATTATAAAATGTGTATATGAACATGGATACAGATAAGGGATATCCAGGTTATTAATTCTGAAGATGTGTATTTTGACTTTTGCTTCCTACAGTGACATAGTGGTATATCTGAAGTTTTATACAGTTATATTAGGTGTGGTGGTGCTCACCTAGAATCTCTGTGAGGTTGAAACAGGAGATTCACCACAAGTTTGAGGCTAATGTGAACTACACAGTAAGTTGGAGGCCATATGCTTGAGTCCACTAACAATGAAATGTAGGATCTTGGGGAAAGATACTTTTTTTGGTCCTTTGTAAAATTAGAATGTTAAAAAAATTAATGTTAGCATTATCCAGAACTCAAATTTTGGGCACTTCATCATACATTCATTTCAAAGAATACTTTATTATATTTTTCTCAATCTCATCTCTGTGTATTAAAGATTATTAGAATGAGTCAATTATGTAGTTCTCTGTTTATCTATAAATACAGATGCCATAGAAGAAAATGTCCAGTACCTCCAAACACTTCCCCCTTTCTGTTTTCATAGTGGCTTTTGTACACATCTACAGGATATGAGCACAGAGTTCCTTAGGCACTATGACTTCTGGGCCTATAAGCCTGCTCCTCTAGGGCCTGTGAGGCTCTCCTTTGGAGAGAGTGTGGGATACATTGTTCCTGTGTGAGGCAGTGGCCTACATATACAGCAGGAAATGAATATGTGTTTACTGAAGAGATGAGCAAAAGGCACAGTATCTGAAGAGATTCTAATATCAGGAGGAGACTCTGAAGTGATGACTTGAAGCTGTATGTCTCTTCCTAGAGTCAAAATTTTCATTGATTTGTTGCCTGTTTGTTGATCACCAACTTTAGGAACACTTGGTAATGTCTGCAAGCTATTTTATTTCTGGTTAGGGTATTGCTACCTTTAATTTAGTGATAAAAAGGACAGTGGTTTATGTTAGTATGAGTCAAAAGCTTTTTATTTATCTGTAAACTGAGGAGTCTACACAAGGTGCCTTCCACTCGTCCTGGGATAGGAGGCAATGGGAGGGAGGGGCATTAGCACCGTCGACTTCAAGGGCGGCTGGAAGACCTTCCTTGGGAAACAGAGCTAGACAGTTACATAGATAACCTAAGTAACGTATGCCATAAACTTCAAATAGGGGTTTTCTTATAATGTCTTTTTCAGTTGCAGTTCCCTAAAAGAAACATGTATCATGCTAAGGTCAGGATCAGTATCTGTCTTCAAGCCCTAGTCACTGTCAGGAGGAAGATGTCACTCCGCCTGACTGCTGGAATCCACAGCTGGATTCTACCTATGCCTAGTCCCTATCTCTGGTGCCCCTTCTATACCTGTAAAACTGCTATGGGGTGCAGAAACAGACTGTGAAGGAAGGCTTTTCTCAGTTTTAGAGAAGCTTGGCAATAAATCTATTTTTCCATTTTATATATTTTATGTCATTTTCTCTTGACATTGCTGAATACCCAGAGCCAGAGCCCAGGCTATTTTGCCTGTGAGCTCTGGTAACAACAGCAGCTACCCCGTTCTCATTGTGTGCCCTCTAAATGAAAGCATCCATTCTCCTTACACACCCTCCTAATGAAAAGCAAAGAAAGTCAGGAAGGGCCAGTGGCTTCAATTGCGACCAAACACCCTACTGTTGCCCTGCCCTGCTCCCTACTGGCTGTCTGTCCTGCACAAAAGTCTCCTAGAGTAGCTGTGGCCCGACAGGTACTCTCTGATACAGGTTCCTACATTCCACATTCCCAAGTCCCGCAGGAAAGACAAAGGGTGACCCAAGTGTCATTTATATACCCCTTTAGTCATGCCGTGACCGAGGCCAAGCCATTTAATTACCACGTCAAAACATCAAGAAATAGAGACATTGGGAGTTCAAGTAAAATCAGGTCATTAGGTAAAAATAGATTTCAATAGAGGTAAAAATGTCAACGTTAAAGAGCATACCGCAGTACCCCGGGGTTCCACACACTGTCTTCATGAGCACTTGGTGTTCCACAATTTTAGAAAGTCCAAAATCAGCTAGAAACACAAGAGAAGAATTTAGCATGCCAAGACTTTTCTCAGCTTTTATAAGTACTTCTGCTTTTCAAAAACAAAACTAATGTATTTGTTTACTTCTGAACTGATGGTGGGAGGATGTGGGTGGAAACAAGACAATTTTCTGAAGCTAAAATAAATAGTCACTCAATCAACTTGGAAAAACATGACGCCAATACATTTACAAATAATTTATAATGCTTGATTTTTCTTTAAATCTCAAAAACGTTAACATGTAAAGAATTTTTCTTCAGAACAGTAACTGTGGTGCTTGTAAGAATTCCAAATTCATGTGACAGTAACTCCCAGAGAGAGTACAGGCTTCGTGACACAATCCCGAGTCTTCAACTCACTGGTGAAATAAAATACAGATTTCCACAGATGCCATGGAAATAAACAGAAATGTCAAAAGCTTATTCTGATTGAAAACAAATAATATCAGTTGCCAATGTTTAACAGCTAACAATTTATGCTCATATAACAAGTGAAGCCTTTTGGGGGCAGTCTAGATTTTTCTATTTATTCCTCTGTATATTGCCTAAGTAAAATATTATCCAACTTGCTACAGTTATGACCTATTGCTGAGTGACCTCTCTTTCAAGCATGTCAGAAGGCTGCTCGAGGCCATTCTTCAAGGGAGGCAGGTGCAGAACGGATACCATTTTAGACTTCAAAGATACGCCCATGTTTCCACGAGGTGCTTGACCGCATCACTGAACACAACAGGCAGCCCTACAGAAAGCAAGGCTTTCCTGCCCAAATTAGCATCCATGCATCCATCTAAAGAGATTTCTTTAAGGATCAAATCTTTGAAAGTCATGTCAAAGGAAATGGAAACCCCTGCTGTCTACTGTCTTTCAGGAGTGATTAACAGAACGAGCTGGCTGCCCAGCAGGCTTTTCAGAATGCTGCCCCAACTCCTCTCTGGTAGAGCAACTTAATTTTCAGAGGTGTTAACACTTGTTTGTTTGTTTTTTATTGTTTTTGTTGAGCTATACATTTTTCTCTGCTCCCTTCCCTATCTCTCCCCTCCCCTTCTACTCTCTTACCATGGTCCCCATGCTCCTAATTTACTCAGGAGATCGTGTCTTTCTCTACTTCTCATGTAGATGAGATCCATGTATATGTCTCTCTTAGGGTCCTCTTTGTTGTCTGGGTTCTGTGGGGTTGTGAGCTGTGGGCTGATTTTTCTTTGCTTTACGTCTAAAAATCACTTATGAGTGAGTACATACAACATTTGTCTTTCTGGGTCTGGGTTAGGGACACATCAGCTTAGCTCTGATAGAGAAGCGAGGAAGCCTAGCAACCTCAGGGGGCTTTGATACAGATTCTACCTCACATCTGTCTTTGGAAATGAAAATTTGCTTTAGCAAGTATATGGGAAATAAAATGTATTTTCTCCTAATAGGATAATTTCAATGGGTAGATGAGAATTGCCCAAATTTCATCTTTATGGTTTTTCTGGATGCTATATGGGGTGGATTTCTAGAGTCAATAGTTTGAGGAAGTCTTGTAGTGTAGATCATGATATGTTGGTCCACACGTTGGCACTTTTAAGGTTTTATAAGGCAATGCAGAAAAAAAATATTTCATTTGCCATTTTCTAACTTATTTGACCAAGCACAGACCCTTTGTAAAACCATGTCCTCCACAAACACTCAGACATACAAGGGAGTTATCATCGATTAGAAAACAGCATTCTGGGGAGAACAATTTGGAAATATGGTCTTTGAGTTTTCTCTTCTAATATGAACAAGAGATTCATAGTCTACATTCACTAATTTATACTAGGTATTTTAAAGTTCTTCATTATATAAGATTAAGCTCCAAATAATTTGTCAATTCAAAGTTAAGAAAAACACAAGTCAACTTTTCACTATAAATTTTTCTACAAAACCCAAGGTTATCTTTTGAGATCCTCATAATCACTAAGCACCCAGAGTGGGGCTCATTTGAAAGCCTAGCAATGATCCAGGGAAGTCTGGAACACAGCATCAGGTGAACAGTCTAGAAAAATACACGGACTAACAAACGACACGCTATTATCACTCATAGAGGCCAAGTGTTGGAGGCAACCAGACAGAGGCAATCCCTGATAGAACACAACTTAAAATCCCATGGAACAAACATCTTCTGCTCTGAGAGATTTGAAAAGTTTCTTACCAATTTTGAGAGGTGCATCTGGGGCTGGAGTTGCATAGAGAAGATTCTCTGGTTTGAGATCACGATGGACAATCCCATTTTCATGCAGGTACTACACAGGAAAAATAATGAAGTTAATTACATGAATTAAGTTAAAATAAGTTAAAATTACAGTTGTGTAATTTTATTTGTGGTTCCGATATCTCTTTCTGATGCTTTCAGATCTACCATAATCTTATGGCTCAACCACACACATTTAGGATTTTTAAAATATATATCACAAAGAAAACAAGGCTTAAGAATACAGCTTAATGAAAAGCCATGAGCGCCAGGCGCTCATGAGTGGTAGAGGGTTTTCCTAATGAGAGGGAGGCCCTCAGAGAACTCAGAGACTGAGCCTCTCACAGCTGCCTCTATAAAATTCATAACTAAGTTCTGTCAATTCTAATTCCAAAATATTTCCCAAACGGTTCAATTTCTTCAAGTCATTACCCCGATTTGTTCCCCTCAAACTATTCTCCAACAGAGCACAAGAAGCTGTCATTTATTCTCCTTGGAAACGGGTTGCTGGCAGAGAAGAGAGTTCTGGATGCTGCTGGCTAGGGAAATCCGGGGTGTCTGGCTAGAGCGGCCCACAAGAGAAGAGGCACACTCAGACTAATTCTCAGTCTGGCTGTGGAACGAGTCTTACCTGAGTGGATGAACACGGGTAGGCATTCTCTCTCTAATATGTTCAAACGCATGTGTCATAACACTTTAGTAATTCTATGTCTAAAATTCAAGGCAATGACACTGGTTTTATTTTTCCCTAAATTCAACTCAAAAACCTAAAAACATTCACTGAGTTAAAGTTTTAATGAAACACGTTTCTTTTGACAGAAATCATTAAATGGCCCGTTACCACTTTAAATAACTGTCATACATGAAAGCAATGGTAAACAGGCCCAGCTGTAAAGACACAAACCTCACGTTGACAGAATATAAGCCTGTATAGAAAAATAAAGTAGGACACGTGACACCAACAAATGAACAGCATTCAAAACTCATTTGCATGTAGGATTAGAGCGAGTGCCTGCTGGGAGGGCAGCTTCCCTGGGGGACGCTGAGGAGATTTTCAAAAGGACGCATGTGTGATCGGTTCATTTTCTCATTTTCACTGGACGATGCCAGGTCTGAGACAAGAGATTTCAGGCTTGAGGCTATAGAAATGTTTGGGTAATTAGATGTTGTATTGGAAAATAATACATAGCGTGAGACAAGGCGCAAAAAAAATGGTCCTCAGTTACAAAGAAATAAACAGCAAGCCAGTTTTCGTATGAGAAAGACAAAGTCCAGAGTGGCCACAGAGAAAAGATCTGTACATTCTTGGGATCCAAGAGACACAGGGCAGGGCTGGGAATGAGAGAGCACAAGCCAGTCTCGGGGGACAGGCAGTTTCTGCTCAAAGGTTAAGGACTGGTATTGAGACGATGGTGTCTACACAACAGAGCATGGTTTCTCTGCTGAAGAGAGTGAGGATGGGGAGTGGTACTATAGGAAGGTAAAGAGTTCCCACACAAGTGTGAGGAACCGAGTTAGGATCCTCAGACGTCACAGAAAGCTTGGCACCGTGGATGTCTATAATCCCACTGCTCCTCTGGCAAGTTGGAAGGTGGATAGGAGAATTCTGGGAAGCCTGGCCAGCTAGCCTGGAGCAGGCAAAATGAACAAGAGACCTCTCGAGCCAAATCAATGATGGCGCTGAGATCAGAGATTTTCCCTTTGACCTCCAAACAACACAAGCATACATGTGCATGAGTGCATTAGGACACACAAGAAAAAGGAAAGGTCAAAGGAGAAGGCAACCTTGGGATCCATCAGAGAAAACGCTATTTCCTGCAAATGAAAGGGAAACCACATATGAGAAGTGGAAATTTGTACATTTTTCTTCTAACCCCATTTTATTCACAGATACACAAGCAATTCCCAGACTAAGTATGCATCAAAGCAGAATGTGGAATTTAAAAAGATACGGGTAGATCCCCTAAATATACCTTATCACGGATCTCTTAAAACTGCAGTCATCCAAAGCTCAAGCTCCCCTTTAAAGATTCAAAGACAGCACCACCACTCTGACTTCAGGGGGTGTCTAGACGTGTAATTAAACTCTCTCTATGGTCCTAACAAAAACTGTGTCGTTATGTAATGAAAGCTACTACATGGCAATTTGGTTTAATTACAGCTCTGCTGTGTTCGATGGGCTGTATGTGGTTAATTGATAATGTCTCAGGAGTTGGTAGGAGGAAGTGTGAGTCTCTTTAAAAATCTAACAGGATTCAGAAGAACTAGTCATTAAGGAGAGAAAACAGTGTTCTATCTGCAGTTTTCCTACTGGGGATGAAAATCAAACTGCATAGAGCTGTTCTTTTCTGTTCTTCAGAAAACTAAGAATTAGTATACCTAATTTAAGTAAGGACATCAAAGCGAGTACCCCATTTCTGCGTCATCTCTGCTTTGAACACCTGCTGCTTACATTGTCTTGATCTTGACCTCTATACGTGACTTCGAAACCGTCTGCAGAGGAGAGGCATCTCCCATGACCAGACCAGCAGATCTTGTGGTACCACCTGACCGGGCCTATGTTACTGTATGCCTTGGTCCCTCACGCATACCAAGTCTGGGATTGCTGACATATAGCCTATTTCAGAGTCATCCTTGGTGCTCTAGTTTCCCTTCCTAGCCTTGGGCAATTTGACCCACACATATTAATTTCACTCATTTGTTATTTTCCTTTACATCGTCATTGCTAGGTCTCTACTGGCACTGCTGCATTGCCATTTAGCCTCCCTAATAAATCCATATATCTGTATTTCTAGATCACAGAATAACTCAAATCAAGGCCTGAGCTGAAAACAAAAACAAACGTCAAGCTGAAATCTCATGCCTACAAACTGAAGTCTAATTTCTCCAGAATAAAAATGTTAAGTTCTTTCGTGTAAACCCCTAATTTGTGTCTGCATCTTTTTTCTGAGACAATTGCTAATATGCACAAGCCACATTGCTTATTATTCCCGTGTCATGTTATATATGTTCCTAGGTCATTCCCAGAAAATGTAAAGGCTCTGGAAATTGGAGTGAGGGGGGCTATATGGGCAAAGTCTGTGCTGAACAAGTGGGGGACCTTCATGTGTGTCCTCGGAAGCCACATCTGTCACCTCACTGCTTTTGTGATAAAACAGGACATAGAAACAGATTCCCTGGAATCCTTGGGAGCCAGCAGGTCCTTCAGTTGCAGTGCTGGAACCACAGAGACCCTGCCTGAAGCAAGGTAGGAGAGGACCCACACCTGCGGATGTTCTCTGACAGTCTCGCCATACTTACACTTAGACACACACGCACACAGACAATTATACACTCATACATGTACATGCACAAATCATGCACACAACACATATAATAAACATTCGCATCATATATACATCACAGACACATATATGCACACATTGTGAAAGGTGCAGGAGTTGTATTGTTACGTATCCCGTGGGACTGCACTCCACAGCTCTGCACTTTGATTGGCTGTGGTTTTCTGTAATAGACTCCATCTATTGCAAAGAGAAGTTTCTTTGATGAGGAATGGGATTACACTTACCTGTGGGTATGAGGACAAATATTTAGAATATACTTATGGATTATGCTGGCTTAGTAAAGTGGTGGCTGGAATAGGTTTTAATGTTATATCTACAAATGTACTACATCTTTGTTTGTTTGTTTGCTTGTTTGTGACATATCTAACCTCTTAATAATTCTGTCAAGCATATTTTTCCATCTTGGATTTAAGAATTATATTAAATCTTTTGTCTTCAGACGTTTTATTTCAGATTTCTTAGTATGTGTTCTACAAAACTATTAAACACCCTCAGCATTTATTCTACTCTCTCAATTATGTAGAATATAGTTGTAATAACTGTTTTATTGTCCCTATCTACTGTTTCTGCATCCGTATCATGAGTCTATTGATTGGTTTGACTTCCTGCTTCTGCATATGCCCTGGAATTTTTGATAAATGGTAGATGTGGGAGCCAGCCATGATAAGCTAAGTATGGGCAGGTCACCCAAAGGAAGTTCCTTACTTCCAACCATTATCACCAGCCAGAGTAGGACTCAGTCATCGATAAATTTAACAAGAGGCCTGGGTCTCAGTAGTTTGCCCTGAAGCATTGCCTGGTTGCAGAAAGAACCACAAGCTGAGATTACCTGAGCACCACCCAAAAACAGACCATCCAAAGGAAATGCCTAACGTTCCAACTGCTGTAGATAGGACCACTCACCAGGACACCACTAGACAAATGTCAGCCAATCAGTGGTCCTGGACCTCAGAAAACCCTCACCCCCACCTTTACTACTATAAAACTCTAACTGATCTCGGGGCTCTCCGTTTATGCCAATATGTTGGAAATGTGGAGAGATCGAGTTTGCAGACTTCTTTAAAATAAAGGGTCATTGCTTTTACATATGGGACTCGGTCTCCTTGTTGGCTTTTACGGGGACTTTGCAGAATATGGTCATAAGAGTAGATATTGTGAAGTTTATCTGATTGGGGACAAACACACATGTAAATATTTTTTTAATTTATTTATTTATTAAAGATTTCTGTCTCTTCCCCGCCGACGCCTCCCATTTCCCTCCCCCTCCAACTCCCCCAATCAAGTCCCCCTCCCTCGTCAGCCCAAAGAGCAAACAGAGTTCCCTGACCTGTGGGAAGTCCAAGGACCACACACCTCCTTCCAGGTCTAGTAAGGTGAGCATCCAAACTGCCTAGGCTCCCACAAAGCCAGTATGTACAGTAGGATCAAAAACCCTTTGCCATTGTTCTTGAGTTCTCAGTAGTCCTCCTTGTCCGCTATGTTCAGTGAGTCCGGTTTTATCCCAGGCTTTTTCAGACCCGGACCAGCTGGCCTTGGTGAGTTTCCTATAGAACATCCCCATTGTCTCACTGTGTGGGTGCACCCCTCGCGGTCCTGAGTTCCTTGCTCGTGCTCTCTCTCCTTCTGCTCCTGATTTGGACCTTGAGATTTCTGTCCAGTGCTCCAATGTGGGTCTCTGTCTCTGTCTCCTTTCATCGCCTGATGAAGG